GCCCAGCCACCGCCCCCGACTGCCTTCGACCGCCACCGACTGCCTTCGACAACCACCTACCTCCGTCAAGCATGTATGTCTTCGTCGACCAACACCGATCACCGCCAATCTTCGTCAACAACGCGCCAACCGCCGACCATCGTCGACCCATGCCGACCACCACCAACCGCAGTCGACTACCACCAATTTCTGTCGACCACCACCAACTGTCATCGATCACCACCAAACATTGTCAACTACTATCGACTGGATGCCGCCAATCGCAACTAGTCGCGCACGTTCCTGACAACAAATTTATCCGTCAGTTGACTTTGTAACTTAGGAAACCTAGTAACAATTTTCCGCCAATGAGACAAGTGGTTACAACTGTATTCATTTTTGTATGGTGAAACTTTTCAGTTGGGTCAGACCCCAATGTTTTTTCCTTTCCAGATTTTTCACGTAAAAATTTCATTTGTCATTATCAGTTGTTTTCTTTCATCTGAGTATATGATGAATCTTCATATCACACTAAGACGATAATATGCTACTCTACCGCCGCAAATTTTCTAGCACACATCAATTTCAAAGCATGCCTCTCAAATTTATGTAAATACATGTTTTATGTATAGCCTCATGACACTAATGTATTAAATTTATGTAATACATAAAAATACATAAGTAAATACATAAGAATGTGATATGCATATACATTTCTCAATTTCCAAATAGCTGTAAAAGTCATCGGAGAAAATACCTTTTCAAATGATGCTGTGCAGAGTTTATTTTTATTCTCTCACAACATTCTCAAAGTTATCTGGATGTTGTAGCTTTGGAACCTCTAGTTGTAATAAGCTGTATCTCACTAGAGAATTTTAGGAGAAGGAAAAAAATAGAATGAAAATAATAAGATTGGGGTGTCATTGATTTATCTTAGTTCTTAGAGATATTCTATTGTTGTAAAAGTCAAAATAAGTCCTATATATATGAACAAAAGATCCATTAACTAATGAAGACAATTGATGCAAGAAATCTTTTGGATCGACTTATTGATCATCTGGAACTCTAATTTTAGGATATTTATATTTGAATTCGATATCTCGATAAGATAAATATGTAAATATAGAAATTAATCATATTCGACTTTAAATGAGCAGTGATGAAATACTTTTAATACAACTAAATATTTTATGACATAAATTAGAGAACCAAATAATCTTTGAAGAATTTTTAGTATATTTAAAGTTATCTATCCAATGATAGAAATCAAACAAGATTAAAGTCACTCAATTTCAACATCAATAAGATAATAGTATATGATTGAAAATAGCAATACAAATCATGGGATGAAATACTTTGAGATTTTAGCTACATCTATAAAATTCTTTCAATTGAAATAATAAATAGATCATCATTTTTAATTAAAATAAACTTTAACATGAAATCAAAGATAGCTATAAGATTTGAAGAATTCTTAAGTTTTACCCGATACTCAACGCCAATTATCAACATTATCATCAAACTTCCATGCATAAAGACCATTGTCAGACCACGTTGCCTAACCCTCATTCTGCATCCACTAATGTCTGACAAATATTGTATGTCAGCAATCATGCGACTACAATAATCCAAATGATATAATTTGATTGTTGTTTCCCTACTTCCAATGCTCGACTAACCTCATCCAACCACCATCAATAATCTGCTATGCATCTCTAATATTTTGTACTTTAAGATACAGTCTTCTCTAATCAAGGAGAAAATCAAACAACCGTAATTGTTAAATACATATCAGAATTTTATGTAACCTAGCTCCATAACTTTTTTTCTTTTCCGAAAAATTTTTGGCATTCATGTTAATGCCTAGAGCAAGGTTGTAATGGGCCTATCCCTCTGGCATCTAATATTTTACCAATTATAACAGAAAAAAGTTAAGGATAAGGGGCAACATTGATTGCAATCTCAAAATGATAGTGTATTGTGCATGAATGCAGTTAGAAAACTCTATAGTCTATATATTATGAAATACTCGCCATAATTTTTGCTGCAACCTCAAAAGGATATTCCTGTTAACTTCCCAATAATAATTGCAGTTGATATGTCACCATAAAATTCGCTTAATCATGAATAAATCTCGATGCATATTTGATGAAAAATTTAAAGATCCTTCAAGTTTTAATGTTAGGAACTTTATAGTCAAACTAAGTTTCTCAACAATACGAAACCAAAGACACAAAAACAATTCAATTCAAGCCATAATGAGCTAGACCAAGTATTTGAGATATAATTAAAAGTTTTAATGTATTAATTAAAAAGTGAAATGCTTTCCAAATTTGGCATGCTTATAGTCAAACCGAGCATTTCTACGAAAGGAATTATCCATTTAGCCCAATATCACTTAACTTTGAAGTCATTATTATTATTATTATTATTATTATTATTATTATTATTATTATTATTATTATTACTAGAATAGACATTGCACAAGCCGTTAGTGTTGTGAGCAGGTTCATGCATGATCCATGAAAGAAATATTGACAGGTTGTGAAGAGTATCATGAGGTATTTGAAGGGTACAATTGATGTTGGCTTGGCGTTTGAGAGATAGTCAACTATTATAGATTTGTGTGTATGCTACATTGACTCAGACTATGCAGGTGATATGGATAGGTAGAGTTCTACGATTGGATATTTATTTGCATTGGCAGGAGGTCCACTCATTTAGAGGTTAGTTCTTCAATCTAATGTTGCTTGGTTTACTACAGAGGCCAAGTACATGACAATCACGAAGGCGATGAAGGAAGTGATATGGATGCAGGGCCTATTAGATGATTGGGAGGTGATCATGAATCTCTAACGATGTTCTCTAACTGTTAGAATGCAATATTTTTTTTCATAAATTCAGTTTATCTTGACTATACCAAGCACATTGATGGAAGGTACCATTTAGTTCGAGATTTGATTGATGACGGCAATGTTCTGTTGAAGAGAATAGATACAAAGGAGAATCCAACAGATATACTCATGAAAATACTACCAGCCTAGAAGTTCACATACTGTAAGAGTTTGATGAAAATCCAAGCTCATGACTAATTGCCCAATCGGGTTTCTTGAAGAACTACGCGAGACTGCAACTGAATTGGAGTTTTGAGCTCATTTAGTTATCTCTCACCTATTCAGAAGTAAGATATGAGGTGAAGATTATTGTGTTTATTATTTTTATTGTAATTACAGGCAATTTGGTCTTTTGGCATTTTTTTACTTGTATGCCCTAATCCTTCTCTATAAAAGTAACTTAGGGTTCATGTGAGAGGTATGGTGAGAATACCAATTTGTAACCTCAAGCCATTTTCTTCTCCCCGTTTGATGCTAGTGAAATCACTCTCCCAATAGTTGTAGGCGAATCAACTTAACACCAAATCACGTAAATCTTTTATGTTTGATTGTTGTTGTGTGAATTTCTACGTTTCTATATTATTTTCGCATAACAAATACATAAAAAATAAATTCAAGTCAATTTTTAATTTCATACTAATAAAAAAATCAGAATATTTTAATCAGTGGAGATAAATTATGTACCAATATCATAACACGCATAACATTTACATGGTCCATGCCAGATGCTAAGAATTAGGCGTGGATTGTCCTCTTGCAATTATAAATAAGTAAATAACTATAATAATTAATTAAGATATAGATAATGAATTTTTGCATATCTCGCAATGGGTCACGTAATATTTTAGTCATATAAATTTAATTAACTTTAATTATTTCCGTGATTTTATATCGCTATCTTAAGCATTTATATTCAATATAAATGCCCAAAAAAATTAATTTTATCTGTCAAATTTATCATTAATGACTTTATTTTTTTTATATTGCTCTTAAATATTACAGATCATGCCTCATGCATGATGTCACTATTCGATGGAAAGAACAAGTCAAAATATCATATGATATACATATATATATAAATGAATCATTAGATGCTATTATACAAGCCTCCAACCACTCCTAATATGTCTAACAATTTGAATATCACCTCCTTAATATCAACTGTGTTAGAGAAGATTCGAGCACCAGACTTGAAGGGTCTTACAACCAGGATGCCGACCAACATGCCGAGGTATGCAACATTAATATATATATATATATATATATATATATATTGCGCGCATGCATACATGCATATAAAATGAATCTTCTATACATGCATCATCGAGAACTGCATGCCCATACACAGTCTACTCTGTCACTCGGCACTAAATGTTCACCAAGGAAAACACGAGTGTGGTGAGAAGAGAAGATCTAGAAATTGGAAACTGTAAAAAGATGTCCCATCCGTCTATTTTTCTATACATGAAATGACATTGAAATTTTATGGGGAAAGATTATGGGGGGGGAGTTTACACATATATGCTAGATTATTCATATATAATTTACAAATCTACATCTAAAATTTGATATTTACATGTGTACCGTACAAATCCTTAACATAAATTTAAAAAAATATAAAATATTACTAACGCTTTAATAGTGACCTTTTAATGCATAGTTTTGTAATACCCAAACTAATATAAATATAAATATAAAAATTTTCTTATCCTAAAAATAATAACAGTTCCAACCCTGAGGTTAGATATGTAAATACATAAGAATTCCTGAGACATGACACTCTTATCTTTAGAAAAATTATCGTTCATCACAGCAAAGATATATGACGGTGAGCTTTATTTTGATTTTCTTAAAAAAAAATTTACTGTGATGAACGATAAAAAATTGGACACATCCATATGAAATTTAAGAAAATTGCAGAAGAAGACCAGCAACAAATCGTAATTGCAAGAGAGTTGATGAATCAATTTGCATAATGACAAAAAAAATGAGGGGAAGAGAAACTGACAGCAGGGCTGCCCGATAAATTAAATAATTAAAAAAAAAGAATAATTTTGTAATTGGGCAATTTAATAAATGCTTGCAAATGGCTCCACTTTCATTGCCTTCTATTATTTATAGTGACCTCAAGAGCGGCTTTTGCTTCATTGAAAGGCTTTCAGTTCGCTCTCCTCGCTCACCTTGGTATTTTCTCTCTCTCTCTCTCTCTCTCTCTCTCTCTCATCTTTTTTCATTCTTATTTAATAAAGATTTTTATTTATCTGAATGAATTGTAATTTGCTTAATGTGGATTAGTCTCTATAGTTTTTGGTCTGCATATTCTGATCATGAATCAAAGTTATGGCATGCATGGAGGCCATTAAGGATCATTTATTTTATTTTGAAAAAAATTTGATGTGAAATAGAGCATGTTGTATGTTAAAATATGCTTAATTTATATTTATATTCCAATAAAATTATGAAAATTACTGGAGCTGAATATGCCATGACGAACCAAGTGCATGGAATATCCATATTTCTGGCTTATACTTTCAGCTTATATATGAGGACATTATTGTAAGGAACAAAGATAGATGGATGCAAACTAAACTAAATTTTCTTTTAGTGAATAAAGTCTTACTATAAAAGAAATGCCTAAAAAAGAAATTTACGTGTTAGATATGTAAATATGCATAAATTAAGTGGTATGAAAGCAAATATCCCGCATAATGATGAGGTAATCAAGGGAATAGCCATGGCTGGTTTGGGTTATATTTTTTTCCTTTTTTATTATATAT